ACGAGAATAATGAAAAAAAAAAAAAAAAAAAAAAAAAAATTTCCGTCCCAACCAACAAATCAAATCAAATCATCCGCAAGTGGGGGAAAAAAAAAAAGTATTCCCATCCTGACGATTGTCGCTGTTTGACACTCGTCCTCTCTGTTCCGACTATATAATGCATATATATATTATGTACCCAAGATGCATATACGTGTGCAGTATAAAGGGGGTAAAACGACGTCAAAAGACCGCATAGCGATAGAGCACGTCTTTCGCTCGGTCGAGTCAAGACGACGAGGAAGATGGGACAGAGAGAGTAAGAGGGTGGGGGGAGGGGGAACAACTTGGCCCGAAAAGTGGCAAGACTCAGCAGCAGTACAGCGAAACACTCGCTCTCCACCTCGTTTCTCTCTCCGTACCTATATATATATATATATATATATTATACATTCACGCATTCGCGCCACACTCTCGCGCTACAAGTGTACAATCGTCGCTTCCGATCATCATCATCATCATCATCATCGTCATCGTCATCGCCACCGGATCATCGACAGTAGAGAGAAAGAGGTTCGAGCCCCCCAGCTTAAGATAAGGGCGCTGCTGCTGCTTTGGCCACTGCCTCTGGCTGTTCGGGCTGCACCTGCGCCGCCACCGCCTGCGCGGGCGCCGCCGACTTGCCGGTCACCACCTCCTCCGCCTCCTCCTTCTTCGCCTTGATCGGCGCCAGCTTCTTCTTGCAACTGTCCTTCTTGGGCTGCTCCTCGCTCGAGTCGTCCTCCTCGCTGCTGCCGCAGTCGCACTCCTCGCTGCCGGCGCAGCTGCTGGCCTGCGTCGTCGGCTTCTCCTCCTCCTTCTTGGCCATGGGCTCGGGGCTCTTCGGTTCCTCCTCCGCCTTGACGGGCTCTACCGCTACCACCGCCGCCGTGGCCTCGTCCTTGACCTCCTGGGGCTTGGGCAGCTCCTCGGCGCTCTTGGCCGTCTTCTCGGCCACCACCGGCGACACCTTCTGGGGCTCCTCGGCCGGGGTGACGGGGGCCGTCGCCTTCTCGGGCTCTACGGCGGCGAGCGTGGCCGTGTCCTGGGAGCGCTGCTCCTTGGCGGGCTCCTGGGCAGGCTGGGCGGGGGTGGGCTCGACGGCGGTGGCGGCTACGACGGGCTCGGTCTTGATGGGTTGGGGCTCCTCGGGTTTGGGGGCCTCGGCGACTACGGCGTCGGTGGCGAGTTTGTTGATGCTCTCGGCGGCGGGCACGGGGGCGGGCTCCTCGGTCTTCTTGGGCTCGGCCTCGGGGAGAGCGGCGGCGGCGACTACGGGCTCGGTCTTGACGGGCTCGATGGGCTTGTCCTCGGCGATGACGGCCTCAGTGGGGACGACGGCCGGGGCGGTACTGGCGGGCTGTATCTCGGGCTTCTTCTCGAGCTTGGCGGCTTCCTCGGCCTCGCGGGTCACTCGCTCGGGGGCGATCGGGCTCGTGGCGACTTCCTTCTTTTCGGCGACGATCGGCTCGTCGATCTTTTTGGCTTGGGCGGGCTCTGCCTCGGAGCTAACGGCGCTGGCGATCGGCTGCACGGGCTCGGCGACCACAGGGGCCACCTCGGGCTCCTTGGGCTCCTCGGCTTTCTTGGTCTCCGCGGCGGCCGTTACAACCTGCGGCCCATCCCCGCCCGTGTTAGTATACACCCATTGGTTTTGCAATGGAAAGGAATTGTGTGAGGCAAGACACCTACCTGCTCGGAGGGGGCGAGCTTGAGTTCCTCCTTGGGTTCGTCGGCCTTCTTCTCGGGCTCGGGGGCGGCCTTTTTCTCCTCCTCAGGCTTCTTGGGCTCCTCGAGGTCGATTTTTTTCTCGGGCAGGGGCTCGGCGGACTTGGGGGCGGGCTCCTCGATCTTCTCGTCCTTCTGGGACACAACGAGCGGCTTGTCCTCGGCGATGGCGGCCGAGCGCGGCTGCTCGATCGGTTGTTGCGGGGCAATTTGGGCGGGCTCGGTGGCTGGCAGCTTGGCCGGCTCCTCGGCCTGCACGGGCTTCTCCTCCTGCAGGGACTTTTCGAGTGGCACGACACCCATCACCGGCTCCGGCTTCTTCTCCTCGGCCACTGGCATCGCCCTCGCGACCGCCAGGATCACCAACAAGAGTCCCAAGAACTTCATGATATTGTCTGCAATAGTAAGCACAACGAGTTGGGGGCTCATTTAGTCGTTGAATGCGTTTTGAGGCTTTTTTTTTTTTTTTTTTTTTTTTTTTTTTTTTTTTTTTTTTTTTTT